GGTAAATGATAGATCACCTCCATTTAGCCGGGCAGTTGTTCTGGGAAGGCCTGCCGGAAAAGATCTGTCTTTTACTGCCTTTTTAAAGGCAGCAAGAGTGGTGATGTGACAGATCTCGTCCGGCAGGCCATTCCAGTGTCTGTGAGCGGTTGTGGAAAAGACCCTCTGGGAGGTCTGTGACAGCCTGGTCTTCATAGGATGCAGCAGATTCCTCCCAGAGGACCGGAGTGCGCTGGGGGGATCGTACGGGGAGAGGCGGTCTTGAAGATAAGATGGACCCAAGCCATGTAGGGCTTTAAAGGTCAAAACTAACACCTTGTACTGTGCCCAGAAACTAATTGGCAGCCAGTGGAGGAATTTAGGCACCGGTGTTATATGCTCCCTCCTAGATGTTCCAGTAATTAACCTAGCTGCCATGTTTTGTACTAGTTGAAGTTTCCAGGTTAAGCACAAGGGTAGTCCCATGTAAAGTGCATTGCAGTAATCCAGACGTGAGGTTACCAGCACATGTACCACAGTTTCCAGCTCCCTCATGTCCAGATAAGGGTGCAGTTGGCATATCAGCCAAAGCTGATAACAGGCACTCCTGACTGCTGCATTCACCTGACTAGTCATGTAAAGTGACAAATCTAAGAGAAGCCCCAAAATGCGAACACAGATCTTGGAGGAGAGTGTGACTCCATCCAGAACTGGAGACTGTATTCCCAGATCTGCTTTTGGGCCCGTGACTTTCAGTATCTCCGTTTTGTCTGGATTTAGTTTCAGTCTGTTTTTTCTCATCCAATCCATTACTGCTCTGAGACAGTCATTAAGAGGAGAGACGCCATCTGAAGTCTGAGCTGATAATCTGGTCATGGAGAAGTATGCCTCCATGCCTCCAAATGATCTCACCCAGCAGCTTCATATAAATGTTAAATAGCATCGGGGACAGGATGGCTCCCTGGGGTATGCCACAATTAAGCTCAATTTTGGAAGAGCAACTGTCCTCGAGCCTCACCCTCTGGGATCTACCTGAGAGGAAGGAACGGAACCACTGCAAAGCAGTGCCTCCAATTCCCAACTCTCTCAGACGATCTAAGAGGATGGAATGATCTATTGTATCAAAAGCTTCTGAGAGATCCAAGAGCACCAACAGGGTCACACTACCCCTGTCAATGCCCAATTTATAATTAGCTCAAATGTGAGAGTGAAGCATCCAACTTCGCTTCGGAGATCTTGTCCAAATGTATACCAGAGATATAAGAATTCTGGCAAGGAATGACACTAAAACGGATCAAACTCCAATTAAAGTCTGAAAATATTTATTAACACAGGAAGCAAACATTCAAATGCGGCACACGCACACACACACTAGAAGAATAAGCGGGAAAGAGCGAGAGCGGGGGAGGCAAAGAGGGAAACCAGGACAGAAAGGGATATACTTACGCCCAAGGGACTCCTTCGGACTTCTGATGGCGAATGCAAATGGGTTCCGTGGAAGGGCCATGACCGGCAAGAGAGGGGGGGGGGCGTGGGAACTATCTCAGAGTGCAGACCAACAGAGATTCAGCATGCAATTCCAAGGTAGCACCAGGTCTGCCAAAATCCAGGGGTTCTTATAGGGAATTTCTGCCTTCTGGACATGAATCAAACAATAGGAGGACAAAGGCTTGATGGGTTTACCATTGT